TAATTTTTGATTTCTGCAAGAATTTCTAGATCAATGTTTTTCACAGTAAAAGACGTTCAAATTCCCCATACAAATTTATGGCCTTCCGCTGACGCGAGAAAAACAAAATTCTTGAGAAAAATTTCGAAGGTTTAAAAAAGGATTAAAAAATATAATTTAATAATCAAAAAAACCCTTTGGTCTTTCCTCTTAATAATAACATTGTGACTATAAAACTTTGTTTTTATTAAGTTTGGGCCATTTTTCAGCATGCATGCTAATTTCTTAGCGAATGTTTGGAAGGAGGGAGAGAGAGATTGAAGAGGGAATGTTGAGGGAATATAGAGAGACAAACAGCACAGAGGGAGAGGGTTTCTTTTCTGGATATCAAGAAATGATGAATGAGAAATTAAAAGACAGTTAAGGATAGAAAGACCTTAAACTTACGTTAAAATTCCCGAAGGAGAGATAGAGTAAAAGAAAGATAAAAGAGAGGATACAAGAGAAAATTATTTACATTATTTGGACTATTGTCCTCATCTTTGTCGCCATATTTATTACAACGTTTCGGCCTTCTTCATTGGTTGGAATGTCGAACTTAATCCTTTATTTTATTAAGTTGCAATATGAGCTCTGGTAAAAAATATGGAATGATGACAGCAAAAAAATTGCAATATGAGCACTGTTAAAAATGGTTGCTGAAGACATTAGGTTTATAATAGCCAGAAATTCATACACAGATATCCTCAAGACACATGGCACAGTGGATAAAGGCGTTGATTAGTGACAGGACCCAAAAGAGTGTGAGTTCAATACCCAGTTAAGACAGTGAAGAACTTTCAGAGGGAAATTAACAAGAGATAACTGATATCTAGAACAGTCTACGTGGAACATTCCAGCCGGAGAGTACAATGGCCGAAAATAAATATGGCGACAAAGATGAGGACAATAGTCCGAATAATGTAAATAGTGTACATAATACTTCATCTCAGAAATATAGACAGATACAATAGAAATATTTATTCATTTCTCATCCCTTTGATGAAACTACTCTAATTTTCATATAAGATTTATATAAAAGCTTTGATTGCCGACGAAAAGGATAAGGAAGGGAATGAGAAGATACAATCAAAGGCGATGAGTAATGAATTCAAATCAGAAATAAGGTGTCAAAAATCAGAGATTTTCCACGAATTAAACTATTATTTTTTGTATATATATTTTTTATTGCTATGTTATGGTACGAAGGAATCATTTAAGTTTTTTCACAGCGACCAAGTAGCTCTTTAAAAAAAAAAAAAAACTGATGTTTGGTCAGATTTTGAGAAGTAGGTCGGGCCAATAACTTTTCAGCACAGGTCGTATTTGTTCTGCGAGCGCCAAATATTTACATTCCTTCTTCTCTACGAGTTACCATTCCTACCAGCGTATGTGCGTATGCGAGTGTTTTCAGGCTGTGGGCGATATCATCTTACGACTCCAGACGGAGCCCAAACGGACGGGGTTAGAGAACACGCTAGATTGAAACACGTGCGTCCTACTTGCTCGCTCGCTTTCACATTCTGTCCGCCATCATTTGCCTTTCCCTTTTGCAATGGCACTGTTTAAATATTGCATACAAAACATAAAAGTAACACCGAACAGCATTCTTGTTGACTGTCAGTATTCGATTAATAGCCAGAAAATATTTTTAGATTGAAAGAATTTTTTATGATATACAAATGTTTGGGTGACAGAAGTCTTACTAATTAACCCATAGCTGGAGGAGAATAATTGGATTGTTACCTATTCAGAATTTGATAAACAAGAAAGAAATAATAATGTGGATATAAAGCGGGGTTTAATTCTATATTACAATCAATATATAAACTGATCCCTCACTTCGTAGCCATGTTAGATTGTGTACATTTATATTCCAGGAAATGTAAATAAATCTAAAAAATATTCCTGTGTACCTAATCAGTATTTCCCTGATTGATTGATTCGTTTTTACGGCTTATCAACCCCTTGCAGTTTATTTGAATCCAGAAAATATCTTTAGATTGAAGGATTTTTTTATGAGATACTAATGATTCAGTGATATAAGTCTTACTAATTAATCCATAGATGAGGGGTAGAAGAGGTGGATTAATACCTAATCAGAATTTGATAAACAAACAATTATAACGTGGATATAAAATGTTGGTTAGTTCTATATTATAATCAATATATCAACTGATCCCTCACTTTGTGGCCATGCTAATTTCTATATATTTATATTCCAAAGAATGTAAATAAATATAAAAAAACCATTTCTCTGTACCTAATCAGTATTTCATTGATTGATTTGTTTTTACGGCTTATCAACCCTTTTTGAAGTAATTTTAAATGCTAATAAATAATAGTATTTTTAGATTGCAAAATATTTTATTATGAGAAACTAATTGTTTAGTGATACAGTTCTTAATAATTAACCCATAGCTGAGGGAGAAGAGTTGGCTTCATACCTTTCCCGAGGGTATTAGCGCGTAAGTGAATATACCGAACCCAACGGGAATTGGAGCTCAGCTATCTGATTATCAACTCTGAGCCTGTACGTGAAAATCTTGCAATACTTAGTATTCCGAAGCGGTTACCCATCTAGGTACTGTCCGGGCTTGACGTTGCTTAACTCCGGTGATCGTACGGGAACCGATGTTTCAACGTGATGTGGTCGTAAGCCTTGGCTTTTACTATCCAGTTTCTGTTAATATGACGTTACATGGCAACATTATCATGGAAACTTTCTTGCAACCACGATGTAACATCGCAAAAAGATCCAGCAACGTCATTTTGTTAGCTGGATTGAATCGTATTTGTAACGCGTAAATTCTGATTTTATGTTGACACGCAGCCTCACCAAAACAGCAGTAAAGAAACCTATATTTACTAATTAATAGAACTTTGCGTTTTATTTCAACACTTCCTGGACTTCGAGGAAGAAATAACAAAAACATTTTTAAAGTAGTACATCATCATCATCATTATCATCAACCACAACAACTCTAGCATGTTCTCTGTTGGTCAAAGGCTTTACCCTCTTTCTATGACAACCGTGACTATGTACGATTCAACCAACCTTTTGCCCCAACCATTACTCCATGTTTCTAAACCCTAGCTCATAAATCTTATTTCTCTAAAAGACACCTGCAACCAACAAAAGAAACTAAAGAAAACCTGATAGAATCTAAAGATATAAACCTGGTTTTTTTTTATGTGACATGACAACCAACCTTATTTATTTATATTTAGATGAAATTTTTCTTTTATGTTGATAGGTTTTCAATGTTAAAACAACCAATTCAGCGCCCGTTGGAATTTATAAAATAAATTTTCAAGTTGGTTTAAACATGGTAAATGCAAGTTAAACACCTAAGCACGTGCAAATCAGACGAGGCGAGGTTTGTCTACTATTTTACTGATAGTAGTTGAGTGCTGCTTCTTTTTTTTTTCTTTTTCACAATCAAGGAATATCAAATTAGAAATAAACTTACTATGAACGGCTTTCATGATGAGCAAGTTCATACCTAATCGGAAACAAAGAAAGAAGTCAAAAATCTCAGCTTAAAAAAAGTCACTAATTTGATTTTTGATCAGAAAAAAAAGTCAGCGAAAAAGTTAGAGTAAAAAATTTATACTTGATTTATAAAACATTTATATAATTTTATATATCTATATCTTTAATTCGACAATGATTTAATGCATTTAATGGAGGGGATCTACTTTTCAGCAACACATTCAATAATTTTCCTGGTGTTCGTTATTTTTCCCGAGTATCAAATAATCCCTCTGCTACAGAATATATACATAGCATGGGCTGAAAACCCACTGGGATCCTGGTGGATATATGGGTGCATGATTATTTGATAAAATGATCTTGAACCAATTTCAAATTCTGTTTTTTTACACTGAGCCATGTTTCAAATATACATTTTTCCAAAATGAAAATATTGGCTTGACCGCTTTATGGGTCACACAGCGAAGTTACAGTGGGAAGCTTACCGATTATGAGGTAAAGAAAATAACTGAAACAATTTGCACAGAGGGATATTCAGATATGTAGTTCCTAATATCATCTGACTGGTTCAATTCGGCTCGGGAATTTTGAAAAATTCTACAATTGTTTTATGTAAAAAAAATAAGAAATTCATTGTTAAAATATTAATTCTTTTTCTGGCTGCAATTTTTGTATTGAGTGTAATACGAAAATTCAACTTGAAGTTCAGCGAAAAAATATGGTTGATGTCAGTGAAGTTATCAAAATAGGAACTCATCATTTTTTAAATTTTTTTTTTCAGTAATAATGAAATAGCACCGTAGAGGTGAACCGTGCGTCAAAATACTTGCAGTAGGAAATGAGAAAGGAAAAGAGGGGGGAAAGTTAGAAGAATAAAGTTTTAAATCAATTTGCAAAATATTGAAACGGGAAGAAGAATTAGGCAGAATAAGAAAAGCTAGACGATTGTTTGGTCGCAAGAAAATCAAGTGGAACTCGATTTGCAAACGAGGTTAGGGTTAAATGACTTTTTCGTTGCCAAAAAAACGGTTTCAGATTGGAATGTGCCCTGATAGAGAGTCACTCGCAGATAAGCAACAATTTTACGCCGCTCCCTTCAGTGCGTAGTAAGAAAGTAGACAAATAAAAAGAAAAAATAAGACGTGTGTAACCACGCGACTGGTGTAACGAGTGCTTTGCAATTAATAAAACCGAAAATCAGCGGTAGGCAACCTCCAGCCAGCAAGTAAATGTTGGAATACGATGCTTCTCCGGCCTGCTTACATATTTTTTTTCTTTATTCAGATTAGTTTAATGTGATATAGGTTTTACAAAGAATAAATTTGAGTTGTTTGTGATAGAGAGAGAGAGAGAAAGAAAAACACAGAAAAAGAAAGAGAGGGAGAGAGAAAGAAAGAAAGAGAGGAAGAGAGAAAGAAAGAAAGAGAGAAAGATCTTCAATGGCGCTAATTGTAGACTTGTGCGAAACTAGGCTAAACTCATTCATTATCTTTAAAGACTATTAAAAAATATATATGAAGAATTTCGGTTGTGAGTCGGAAATAAAACCAATGTCTTAAAAAAGTCGATCTTTCGAAGGAATTGTTGCTTTAGTTGAGATAAGAATGGCCATCAGAAAAGTCAGACAAAAATGAAAAGTTATTTTAACAAAAAAGAATAAAATTAAAAGAAAACAAAACGGAAACAAATGGCAACAATGGCAAATACATCTTTAATTTTTTCCTAATCAAGGACGATAACGAAATTTGCTTGAACAAATTACAGACAAATTCGTTGTTTTTCTCTTTCACAGTACATCCGTTTTTATGATGGCATTTTTTTTTCTTTTTGTCAAGGTCAATGAGCCAATCACAATATTCTATGCGACACACGTGACATTTTTTTTCACTACCGCAACTACATAAGGCTCCAAAGTCAGACATTCTTTTATAATCGGCCGTTAAGAATCAATTCCGAAAGCCGTGAGGAGAGGAATGACCTTCTTGGAAAATTTTCAAAACTTGAAGACTATCTGCTTTCATTTTGTCAGAATCAAAAAAGAAAAATCTCAACAGACTTTTCAGGCGTTTGTCATTAAGCGGAAATATATCTTCGCCAGAATCTTATGATAGATAGATAGATAGATAGATAGATAGATAGATAGATAGATAATCATTTGCTGCCCAAAATCTTGTTGAACATAAGGCGCGTAAAAAAAAAGGAAATATTATTAATTAAATTTATAATAAATAATAATAATAAATAAGTTTGTCGATCTTTGGTGTTAAATCGCGCACACACACACACACACACACACACACACACACACACACACACACATGCCGTTTTTATTGGATAAAAGCGTTTTCGGTCGTTTATTGAGTATAAGGAAACCTGAAAGTGCCTGTTTGAAAGACTTAGGTTACATCATTAGCAGGTGTCTAAATTTTACATTCTTTAAGTACAGGCTTTATGAATGTTGTTGATTTGAAAAAGTGCATCTCGCGTGTTTCATCAATGGAACGATATTAATTAATATTCCCTTTAGATATTTTCTTCTTAATACGATATCTTCGTTTTTATTAGGGTGGCATTTTTTTTAAATCAAAATTATAGCCTGTCTTATTTCTGCCCATTTCTAAAGGGTTTATAAGGATAACTCAATAGAACGATCTGCTGTGTTTCAAGATTCTGCTTTTTAAAGTTCTGGATGTTTCGCCTTCATAGTTCTTAGGGCATGACAGGCATTTAATTTAGTATATCTCCGCTTCTTATGTGGTATTTGTGCTGTGTTTTAAAACACAAGAAATTAAACAGGCCATAACTCTCAATTAATAACAGTCCTTTTTTTATATTTACTTCCATGTTCTCCGGATACTCACGGCACGACCGATAAACATCTTTCTCTAATACAACAAATATCTCCCGATACACTCAAAACTCACTTATAATAGCAATAACAATAATAACACTCATTCACACACAGACACACTAACGACGTAAAACAAAACCACGTGAGATCTATCTGACCAATGAAAAACAAACGAGACAAAGTTGAAAGTCACTAAACATTATCTTCCATAACTTCGTTCTCCAAAATTCTGATGAAACTTAAATAAAAACGAAACATGTTAAATATATAAACTTTTTCCTATTTGTTCCTTATTTTATTAAAATTCTCTGTCCGTCTATCTATCTATCTATCTATCTATCTATCTATCTATCTATCTATCTATCTATCTATCTATATATATATATATATATATATATATATATATATATATATATATATATAATATAAAGGGTGTTCTAATAACTTGGACCGATTTTAAATGTGAATTAAGTTTAAGCGTCTAATGATTTTTTTTCTTTCAGATTTAATAACTTAAGTCTTTGGCAATTTCAAACATGGAAAGATTAACAATCAAAGTGTGTGTGTATGTGTGTGTGTGTGTGTGTGTGTGTGTGTGTGTGTGTGTGTGTGTGTGTGTGTGTGTGTGTGTGTGTGCGCGTGCGCGCTCTAGGGAGCCCTATAGAGTCAGACAAGGGTAATTTGTGTGAAAATAATTAAATATGTTAAATTTATTTTGCTTTCATTCTTCTTTACAACTTCAAAAACATTTTTGAAAGTCTGCAGTTTTGTAAAACCCTCCCCGACATCCCACTTTTTCTCTCTCTTCTTTCTTTCTTTCTTTTCTTTCTTTCTTTCTCTGTCTTTTCTTTCTCTTCTTATTCTTCTCTTTCACAATCACAATCTGTCACCTCTCCCTCTTTCCGAACAACCCTCTTCCACGCAAACACGCAATCTCTCTCTCTCTCTCTCTCTCTCTCTCTCTCTCTCTCTCTCTCTCTCTCTCTCTCTCTTCCCAGTCCGATCAGCCACTTTGGCGATGTGACAGCTATCAAGGCAAGCTGCCACGCCCGCCAATCACTTTAATCTTCGAAAACTGATCCGAATTCTTAGGCATCTTAACGGAGATTAAGCAAACAAGTTCGATTAGGAGAGTTTCAACCCAGTGCATCAAAAGATTTCTTATCGCTTTGTTCCGCCCAAAATGTTCAACTGAAAACAATTCGGCCCGTTATTCAAGGTATTTTTCGCAAGATTATTTTCTTCATGTTTTTTTTTAATTAAACAACTTCGCCTATAAACTAATCGGACTGTATTTTGTGAAGACCTCAGACGAACGAGGTTAACTATTCCGTACATTTCCGGTAAGATTATATTTAATAAAATATTTTTATTCTTCGGATTTTTCTTATCATATTGTTGTATAATTTCTAGAACGGACAATGGACGTTATTGCACAGATTCTTTTCATATTGTCATTCATCTTTGTCGTTATTAACAGAAAATAATGGTCGATAAAATGTTCAGCCTCTCATTAGCTTATTTTGAATCTAAGATTATTTTATTTTTGTGTTTTATTTTAGAGATCAGGAATTGTCAATATAATTTAATTTATTTGTTCTCCTCTTGATTATTGAAGTTCTTATTTTAGACACGACGTTTCAACCAAGTGACCTCTTCAGACGTCCACTGTTTGAGTGACATGGGATATTTATTGATCATTCTGTTATTTCGTTCCTCTGTTCTTCCTGAGTCCGTGTATATTTTTTTCGACACCTGAAAAAGAACTTATACCTATTTAACCAAGCTATACATCCCTTATGCCTCCATCCCTAATGATATCAGTTGTGTATTTTTGGAGCCTTTATATTCAATTTCAGCATTTGGTTATCATGTAAAGGCCTAAGTGCCACTCAAGGTACAGGATTACTGAATGAGGATGTTGTAATGTTTAACTGAATGATTTGTTTTTATGGCTCATCAACCCTTTGGGAGTTATTTAAATCCAAAACATATTTTTTGGATCGTAAGATTAATTCTTTGTTTGCGAGGGAATATTAAATTAACAAATTTTGGGGGAGATAATATTTTTCACAGGTAAAATTCCTACTATTTAATCTATAGCTCGGTGGAGAATAGATGGAGTCATACCTTTGCCAAGGGTATTTGCGGGTAAGTGAAATGTAACGAACTCGACAAGAATTTGAATTTGACTCTTTGATTTCTCATTCCGAACCTCTATCTAATACACCACCTGCACATCCAAGAATGTTGTAAGATCGTATTGGGAGGATATCAAGGATAGGGAAGAAATATGGAATAGATAAAAGGTTGAACGGATTCTCGTATTTGGTTTGGTTTTATATTTTGCTAACAATCGCAGGACATATTGAAGTGAAAAGAGACATGGAAGCCAGTGAGAGCTTCCTACCGTGAATGAAGGATGGAACAGAAAGCGGGAGCAATGGTAAAAAGACAAACGTGGCTAAGAGCTACCAATTATAGGAAGTTGTGGAGAGCCATGATCACCACCTCCTGAAGGGGCAAGGCACATAGGAGTTATTCTTGAATAGGGACTTCATATCAAGACTCGTCATAATTGCTTCTTTGTTTTGTTTTCTTTTAGTTTTTGAATTCCATTAACGGAGGTTCTACTATAGGGGAGGGGTTGAATTAAATGTTTAAAAATACAGGGTCGGTGTTAATGTTGGATACAATGGGTCTAACAGTGTGCAATGGGGGGCGTGCGTGCGTGCGTGCGTGTGTGTGTGTGTGTGTGTGTGTGTGTGTGTGTGTGTGTGTGTGTGTGTGTGTGTGTGTGTGTGTGTTTCATGTGCGCGCGTGTGTGTGTGTGTATGTGAAGGAGAGCTTAAAAAACTCTGATTTACCTGAAACGACTTTTCCGGTGTCCCGCTAGAGCGATTTTCATTTTATTTATTTATTTATTTTGTGTGTGTGTGTGTGTGTGTGTGTGTGTGTGTGTGTGTGTGTGTGTGTGTGTGTGTGTGTGTGTGTGTGTGTGTGTGCGTGTCACTCTTGAAGCTTAAGGGCTGTTGGTCATGAAAATATTATATTATACAAAAATGTAAACGGTGATTAGAAATACTATAAATTTAAAAAAAAAACAAAAAAACAAATGTCCCCGTTTATGATTTGGCAGTTATAAACAGCCTATGTATAAGTACATGGGAGCGACGGTGGGGGGCTGAAAAGGTCTCGGCCTGACCCACTTTCTCAAATCCAAACAATCGAGCAACATCAGAATTTGGTTGGTAAAATCCCTTCTTAGTCACGCTAATGTTTTCAACACCTACATAATTTCCAAGCCATAAATTGCGACAGTTTCCCAATTTTATTATTGCTTTAATTTCTAAAAAAAATAAAATAAAATTATGAACTAACATCACTTACATTTCAGCCCTGACAAAATGTGGAATAAAAGGAATGAGCCACTAAGTTATAAAAATAATTAGTTTGATTATATTTACTAAGAAGCCATAGGTACTTTACAATGACTTTTTCTAAGTAGTAACTATAGTCATTCAGGAATTTGTGAACACAATATGAGTGGAGATACACGCCTGAATCCGTCGTGATGTTGAAAATAAGATATGCAAATGTAATAAGCATCTGGTAACCTCTTAAGATTATCATCA